ATATAAGGTTTGACTTGGCCATTGTTATCTTTTGGTGATATGGTGTTTCAATTAAATCATAGTGGTTAACCAGTCGTTTGTCAATAAAACTAGCTGTACTGCCTGTATCTATTAGTGCTCTAGCCATAATTTTGTTATTGATAATAATAGGAACAGTCGCTTTACTTAAATCTGCAGCAGATAGTATGCAGGAGAGTGTTTCGATTGACTGATTTTCGTTGGAGGTAGCTGCGTTGCGTTGAGATTTATTTCGACAGACTTTAGCAAAATGACCCCTCTTACCACATGAAAGACACGTTGAACTGGCTGCTGGACAGAATCTTCGTGGATGTCTTTTTTCTCCACAAAAGTAACAAGACTCAAACGTATTTCTATAATTTGGTGTTGCAGCAACGGTGACATCAGTATTCTTATTGTCAGCAGACATAGAATCCTTTAAAACTGGAATATTAGAACAGTTATTTGTATTATTTATTACAGGATTAGTGTCACGTAGATAATTCTGATTATGAATTTCTGCTTCCAATGATTGAATTGTGCATCTAGGGTTGAGCTATTTGTCATTTGTGAGCCAAGTACCTATTTGAAAAGTTTCTCGACCATTCTGCAAATCTAGGGTTAAAGTACTATTTATACATGTTCTTATTCATTGGATGTCGTGGATACTACAGTTAGTAATAATATACTTATTTAAGTGATAGTTCTGTTTGGCCATTTCCTTGAGGATTATAAGGTGATGAATAACTTGTAGCTACTCCTAAGCTACATAAAAATTCCTTTAATTCTGATGAGACAAAGGATGTTCTCGATCAGAATGAAAGGTGGGTACTCCAAAGATTGCAAATAATTGAGTTAATTTTCTTTTAACGGTTTCAGCTGTTAAACTGGACATGGAAAGGCAAATGGGAAACGAGAATATTCGTCTACTACAGTTAGAATATACTTATTTTGAGTTCTACCCAGAAGAGGCCCCTTAAAGTCCATTGAAAGCTCAAATGGTGTAGTAGCCTTTATTAAAGTCCCAGAAGATTTTATGAATCTAGGTTTAATTTCAGCACATACGGGACATAATGTATTTATGCGTTTGATTTCTTCAACAGAAAAGGGCAAATTTTTAGTTCTTACCCAATGTACCATCCGTGTAATACCCGGGTGACAAAGACTGTTATGTAAATCCATTAATGAATTTCTCGATGTCGAAGCTATGACAGTATTTGCTCGTGACAATGCGTCGGCCACGACATTTTCTCTTCCCGGTCGATATATGATGTCAAAGTTGTAACTACTTAATTCAAGACGCCAACGCTGTATCTTCTCATTTTTGATCTTTGATGTATGTTGCTGGTTAAACATGAATGATATAGAACGTTGATCTGTAATCAGTTTGAATGTTCGTCCTATTAGTAATTGTCTCCATTTTCTCAAACTTTCTACAATTGCCGAGGCCTCCTTTTCAATAGCAGGGTGACCCCTTTCGGTAGCAGAAAGTGTTCTTGAAAAGAAAGCTACTGGCCGACCTTCTTGAGATAACGTAGCTGCAATAGCGTAATCTGAAGCGTCAGTTTCTACAGTCATTTGTATGCCGCTTTCAATAGCAGCTACTGTAGATTTAGCTATCTCTATTTTAAGATCTTCAAATGCTTTTATAGCGTCCTCCGTAAGCGGAAATGTATTATGATTGACAAATGGTTGTATTTTGTATGAGAATTTAGGAATCCATTTAGCATAGTGCGCAAACATACCTAGTGCTCGTCGCAAAGAAACAGAATCAGTAGGAATTGGTAGTTCTAGGAGAGGGCGTAAACGTTCCGGATCAGGTTTAATCACTCCGTTACATATGTTGTATCCCAGAAGATTTATAGTAGTCTTTGAAAATTCACTTTTTGTCACGTTTAATGTAAGATTATATTTTGTAGAAATTTCTTCAAATTTTTTAAGTTTTTCATCGTGATCAGTCTGATTTATCCCACAAATCGTGATATCATCGAGATAAGCATAAACTCCTTCTAATTGCTCTGATTTTATGATATTATTAATTGCACGTTGAAATGCGGCCACTCCATTGGTGACACCAAACGGAATTCGTCGAAACTGATATAAATTTCCTCCTGCTTCGAAGGCAGTATATGATTTTTCGCTTTCCAATATAGGTACTTGATGATACGCGCTTTTAAGGTCTATTTTACTGAATATTTTATGTTTAGATACCTTAGCTATAACATCTTCAATAGAAGGGAGTGGATATGCATCTAATAAAGTAAATCTATTTATTGTTTGTGAATAATCTATAACCATACGTTTTTTATGGTGTTCACTACTAGTAACAAGGACTTGTGCTCGCCATGGAGACTGACTAGGTTCAATTATTTTATCTTTTAATAACTTTTGTATCTCTTCATCTATAAATTTTTGATCCATCTCTGACTGTTTCCTAGATCGAATCGCAATAGGTTTCTCGAAAGGTAGTAAATTACTGAATAAGCTAACAGGTTTTATTTTGGCTTCTATAAGAGTACATAGTTGAAGCGAGGGTTTAAAACCACCAAATTGCATTTCTAATGATTTATGTTCACTTAACATATCATGACCGAGAATAACATCAGAACATAATCCTTCCATCACCATAAGATTGACTTCCACCTTTTGTTTTTGTATTTCTATAGTTAATGCACATCTGCTTTTTACATGTGATATAAGGTTTGACTTGGCCATTGTTATCTTTTGGTGATATGGTGTTTCAATTAAATCATAGTGGTTAACCAGTCGTTTGTCAATAAAACTAGCTGTACTGCCTGTATCTATTAGTGCTCTAGCCATAATTTTGTTATTGATAATAATAGGAACAGTCGCTTTACTTAAATCTGCAGCAGATAGTATGCAGGAGAGTGTTTCGATTGACTGATTTTCGTTGGAGGTAGCTGCGTTGCGTTGAGATTTATTTCGACAGACTTTAGCAAAATGACCCCTCTTACCACATGAAAGACACGTTGAACTGGCTGCTGGACAGAATCTTCGTGGATGTCTTTTTTCTCCACAAAAGTAACAAGACTCAAACGTATTTCTATAATTTGGTGTTGCAGCAACGGTGACATCAGTATTCTTATTGTCAGCAGACATAGAATCCTTTAAAACTGGAATATTAGAACAGTTATTTGTATTATTTATTACAGGATTAGTGTCACGTAGATAATTCTGATTATGAATTTCTGCTAACTCCAGTGATTGAGCTTGCTGGAAGGCCGCATCTAGGGTTAAAGTACTATTTTCTAACAGTCTTTGACGTATTACAGGTGACACCAGTCCGCCTATGAAAGCGTCTCTTATGTATTCACTTTCATTCTGTTCTGCTGTAACTTTATGGAAGTTACATTCTTTCGACAATAGTTTAAGAGCTTGTATATATTGATGAACTGACTCACCGGATTGCTGAGTGAGTTATCGCTTCATAAGACGATGTCTTGAATAGATTTCGTTTACAGGTTTTGTAAATAATTGATTTAATTTAAGAATCGCTGTAGTGTAGTTGTTACATTCTTTGATATGTGCATAAAGAATCGGCGATAAGTAATTGACGAGTACTTGGTATTGCTGCTCAAATGGAGTAATAGGATTATCCTTAGTATTTATAGCACTAATAAAATTCTCAAAAGTTTAGTTTACCCAATGACATGTCAAAGTTGTAACTACTTAATTCAAGACGCCAGCGCTGTATCTTCTGATTTTTGATCTTTGATGTATGTTGCTTGTTAAACATGAATAATATAGAACGTTGATCTGTAATCAGTTTGAATGTTCGTCCTATTAGTAATTGTCTCCATTTTCTCAAACTTTCTACAATTGCCGAGGCCTCCTTTTCAATAGCAGGGTGACCCCTTTCGGTAGCAGAAAGTGTTCTTGAAAAGAAAGCTACTGGCCGACCTTCTTGAGATAACGTAGCTGCAATAGCGTAATCTGAAGCGTCAGTTTCTACAGTCATTTGTATGCCGCTTTCAATAGCAGCTACTGTAGATTTAGCTATCTCTATTTTAAGATCTTCAAATGCTTTTATAGCGTCCTCCGTAAGCGGAAATGTATTATGATTGACAAATGGTTGTATTTTGTATGAGAATTTAGGAATCCATTTAGCATAGTGCGCAAACATACCTAGTGCTCGTCGCAAAGAAACAGAATCAGTAGGAATTGGTAGTTCTAGGAGAGGGCGTAAACGTTCCGGATCAGGTTTAATCACTCCGTTACATATGTTGTATCCCAGAAGATTTATAGTAGTCTTTGAAAATTCACTTTTTGTCACGTTTAATGTAAGATTATATTTTGTAGAAATTTCTTCAAATTTTTTAAGTTTTTCATCGTGATCAGTCTGATTTATCCCACAAATCGTGATATCATCGAGATAAGCATAAACTCCTTCTAATTGCTCTGATTTTATGATATTATTAATTGCACGTTGAAATGCGGCCACTCCATTGGTGACACCAAACGGAATTCGTCGAAACTGATATAAATTTCCTCCTGCTTCGAAGGCAGTATATGATTTTTCGCTTTCCAATATAGGTACTTGATGATACGCGCTTTTAAGGTCTATTTTACTGAATATTTTATGTTTAGATACCTTAGCTATAACATCTTCAATAGAAGGGAGTGGATATGCATCTAATAAAGTAAATCTATTTATTGTTTGTGAATAATCTATAACCATACGTTTTTTATGGTGTTCACTACTAGTAACAAGGACTTGTGCTCGCCATGGAGACTGACTAGGTTCAATTATTTTATCTTTTAATAACTTTTGTATCTCTTCATCTATAAATTTTTGATCCATCTCTGACTGTTTCCTAGATCGAATCGCAATAGGTTTCTCGAAAGGTAGTAAATTACTGAATAAGCTAACAGGTTTTATTTTGGCTTCTATAAGAGTACATAGTTGAAGCGAGGGTTTAAAACCACCAAATTGCATTTCTAATGATTTATGTTCACTTAACATATCATGACCGAGAATAACATCAGAACATAATCCTTCCATCACCATAAGATTGACTTCCACCTTTTGTTTTTGTATTTCTATAGTTAATGCACATCTGCTTTTTACATGTGATATAAGGTTTGACTTGGCCATTGTTATCTTTTGGTGATATGGTGTTTCAATTAAATCATAGTGGTTAACCAGTCGTTTGTCAATAAAACTAGCTGTACTGCCTGTATCTATTAGTGCTCTAGCCATAATTTTGTTATTGATAATAATAGGAACAGTCGCTTTACTTAAATCTGCAGCAGATAGTATGCAGGAGAGTGTTTCGATTGACTGATTTTCGTTGGAGGTAGCTGCGTTGCGTTGAGATTTATTTCGACAGACTTTAGCAAAATGACCCCTCTTACCACATGAAAGACACGTTGAACTGGCTGCTGGACAGAATCTTCGTGGATGTCTTTTTTCTCCACAAAAGTAACAAGACTCAAACGTATTTCTATAATTTGGTGTTGCAGCAACGGTGACATCAGTATTCTTATTGTCAGCAGACATAGAATCCTTTAAAACTGGAATATTAGAACAGTTATTTGTATTATTTATTACAGGATTAGTGTCACGTAGATAATTCTGATTATGAATTTCTGCTAACTCCAGTGATTGAGCTTGCTGGAAGGCCGCATCTAGGGTTAAAGTACTATTTTCTAACAGTCTTTGACGTATTACAGGTGACACCAGTCCGCCTATGAAAGCGTCTCTTATGTATTCACTTTCATTCTGTTCTGCTGTAACTTTATGGAAGTTACATTCTTTCGACAATAGTTTAAGAGCTTGTATATATTGATGAACTGACTCACCGGATTGCTGATATCGCTTCATAAGACGATGTCTTGAATAGATTTCGTTTACAGGTTTTGTAAATAATTGATTTAATTTAAGAATCGCTGTAGTGTAGTTGTTACATTCTTTGATATGTGCATAAAGAATCGGCGATAAGTAATTGACGAGTACTTGTCTAAAATCTTCTTCTTATATTTAATGTCGTGAAGCCATTAAATATAAGAAGAAGATTTTAGTTACATTTTATCTGTCAAATAGTCGTGTACAATTTTTAGTTTATTAAAGCCTAATAATGGGTAAATCTAGTTTTAATTAATAATTCAATACTATATTCATATCAATTTAATAAACTAAAAATTACTTATAATCTATAATGGATAAGTATCTAAGACCCGAAAGATTCGATGCAGATCCGTCAGCAAATATTGATCAATCTCCGCTATGGATACATTGGAAACAAACTTTTGAGAATTTTATTAGTGCTATAAATACTAAGGATAATCCTATTACTCCAGAGCAGCAATACCAAGTACTCGTCAATTACTTATCGCCGATTCTTTATGCACATATCAAAGAATGTAACAACTACACTACAGCGATTCTTAAATTAAATCAATTATTTACAAAACCTGTAAACGAAATCTATTCAAGACATCGTCTTATGAAGCGATATCAGCAATCCGGTGAGTCAGTTCATCAATATATACAAGCTCTTAAACTATTGTCGAAAGAATGTAACTTCCATAAAGTTACAGCAGAACAGAATGAAAGTGAATACATAAGAGACGCTTTCATAGGCGGACTGGTGTCACCTGTAATACGTCAAAGACTGTTAGAAAATAGTACTTTAACCCTAGATGCGGCCTTCCAGCAAGCTCAATCACTGGAGTTAGCAGAAATTCATAATCAGAATTATCTACGTGACACTAATCCTGTAATAAATAATACAAATAACTGTTCTAATATTCCAGTTTTAAAGGATTCTATGTCTGCTGACAATAAGAATACTGATGTCACCGTTGCTGCAACACCAAATTATAGAAATACGTTTGAGTCTTGTTACTTTTGTGGAGAAAAAAGACATCCACGAAGATTCTGTCCAGCAGCCAGTTCAACGTGTCTTTCATGTGGTAAGAGGGGTCATTTTGCTAAAGTCTGTCGAAATAAATCTCAACGCAACGCAGCTACCTCCAACGAAAATCAGTCAATCGAAACACTCTCCTGCATACTATCTGCTGCAGATTTAAGTAAAGCGACTGTTCCTATTATTATCAATAACAAAATTATGGCTAGAGCACTAATAGATACAGGCAGTACAGCTAGTTTTATTGACAAACGACTGGTTAACCACTATGATTTAATTGAAACACCATATCACCAAAAGATAACAATGGCCAAGTCAAACCTTATATCACATGTAAAAAGCAGATGTGCATTAACTATAGAAATACAAAAACAAAAGGTGGAAGTCAATCTTATGGTGATGGAAGGATTATGTTCTGATGTTATTCTCGGTCATGATATGTTAAGTGAACATAAATCATTAGAAATGCAATTTGGTGGTTTTAAACCCTCGCTTCAACTATGTACTCTTATAGAAGCCAAAATAAAACCTGTTAGCTTATTCAGTAATTTACTACCTTTCGAGAAACCTATTGCGATTCGATCTAGGAAACAGTCAGAGATGGATCAAAAATTTATAGATGAAGAGATACAAAAGTTATTAAAAGATAAAATAATTGAACCTAGTCAGTCTCCATGGCGAGCACAAGTCCTTGTTACTAGTAGTGAACACCATAAAAAACGTATGGTTATAGATTATTCACAAACAATAAATAGATTTACTTTATTAGATGCATATCCACTCCCTTCTATTGAAGATGTTATAGCTAAGGTATCTAAACATAAAATATTCAGTAAAATAGACCTTAAAAGCGCGTATCATCAAGTACCTATATTGGAAAGCGAAAAATCATATACTGCCTTCGAAGCAGGAGGAAATTTATATCAGTTTCGACGAATTCCGTTTGGTGTCACCAATGGAGTGGCCGCATTTCAACGTGCAATTAATAATATCATAAAATCAGAGCAATTAGAAGGAGTTTATGCTTATCTCGATGATATCACGATTTGTGGGATAAATCAGACTGATCACGATGAAAAACTTAAAAAATTTGAAGAAATTTCTACAAAATATAATCTTACATTAAACGTGACAAAAAGTGAATTTTCAAAGACTACTATAAATCTTCTGGGATACAACATATGTAACGGAGTGATTAAACCTGATCCGGAACGTTTACGCCCTCTCCTAGAACTACCAATTCCTACTGATTCTGTTTCTTTGCGACGAGCACTAGGTATGTTTGCGCACTATGCTAAATGGATTCCTAAATTCTCATACAAAATACAACCATTTGTCAATCATAATACATTTCCGCTTACGGAGGACGCTATAAAAGCATTTGAAGATCTTAAAATAGAGATAGCTAAATCTACAGTAGCTGCTATTGAAAGCGGCATACAAATGACTGTAGAAACTGACGCTTCAGATTACGCTATTGCAGCTACGTTATCTCAAGAAGGTCGGCCAGTAGCTTTCTTTTCAAGAACACTTTCTGCTACCGAAAGGGGTCACCCTGCTATTGAAAAGGAGGCCTCGGCAATTGTAGAAAGTTTGAGAAAATGGAGACAATTACTAATAGGACGAACATTCAAACTGATTACAGATCAACGTTCTATATCATTCATGTTTAACCAGCAACATACATCAAAGATCAAAAATGAGAAGATACAGCGTTGGCGTCTTGAATTAAGTAGTTACAACTTTGACATCATATATCGACCGGGAAGAGAAAATGTCGTGGCCGACGCATTGTCACGAGCAAATACTGTCATAGCTTCGACATCGAGAAATTCATTAATGGATTTACATAACAGTCTTTGTCACCCGGGTATTACACGGATGGTACATTGGGTAAGAACTAAAAATTTGCCCTTTTCTGTTGAAGAAATCAAACGCATAAATACATTATGTCCCGTATGTGCTGAAATTAAACCTAGATTCATAAAATCTTCTGGGACTTTAATAAAGGCTACTACACCATTTGAGCGAATTTCAATGGACTTTAAGGGGCCTCTTCCAAGTAGAACTCAAAATAAGTATATTCTAACTGTAGTAGACGAATATTCTCGTTTCCCATTTGCCTTTCCATGTCCAGATTTAACAGCTGAAACCGTTAAAAGAAAATTAACTCAATTATTTGCAATCTTTGGAGTACCCACCTTTGTGCATTCTGATCGAGGAACATCCTTTGTCTCATCAGAATTAAAGGAATTTTTATGTAGCTTAGGAGTAGCTACAAGTTATTCATCACCTTATAATCCTCAAGGAAATGGCCAAACAGAGCGTTATAATGGGATTATTTGGAAAACTATTCAACTATCACTTATGTCTCTTAAGCTACCTATAAGTGCTTGGGAGTCAGTTATTACTCAGACATTACATTGCATTCGTTCATTATTATGCACCAGTACTGGGTGCACACCCCACGAGAGAATGTTTTCTCATCCACGAAGGTCATCCAATGGCCAATCAATGCCAACATGGCTAACGGAAGGAAGTACAGTGTTCATGAAAAATCTTGTGAGGAAGAGTAAGTACGATCCGTTTGTAGAAGAAGTAGAGGTACTTAATGTAAACCCACATTATTCTCAAGTGCGTTTGCAGAATGGTCGAGAAACTACAATTTCAAATAGGTACTTGGCTCCAGCTAATCCTCCTTTGTTAAATGAACCTGTAAGAGAACAGAACCCGAACGCAGAAACTGAATCATTTAATACTGATCAATCTACTGCTGACCAATTTCTAACAGACCAATCTCCCGCAGAAGAATCTCCTACTAATCAATCTCTTACAGATCAATTTCCTGCACTTCCATCCCCTGCTGAGGCAAATATATCTTCACGTCGTTCCACCAGGCTACGTCGCCCACCTAATCGGTTCCAAGATTATCAAACAGATTTCTAAGGCACGGGTGAATGTCGTGAAGCCATTAAATATAAGAAGAAGATTTTAGTTACATTTTATCTGTCAAATAGTCGTGTACAATTTTTAGTTTATTAAAGCCTAATAATGGGTAAATCTAGTTTTAATTAATAATTCAATACTATATTCATATCAATGTCTATATTATAATTCATATAGCAGTAGATTGATCAGTATTAAATGATTCAGTTTCTGCGTTCGGGTTCTGTTCTCTTACAGGTTCATTTAACAAAGGAGGATTAGCTGGAGCCAAGTACCTATTTGAAATTGTAGTTTCTCGACCATTCTGCAAACGCACTTGAGAATAATGTGGGTTTACATTAAGTACCTCTACTTCTTCTACAAACGGATCGTACTTACTCTTCCTCACAAGATTTTTCATGAACACTGTACTTCCTTCCGTTAGCCATGTTGGCATTGATTGGCCATTGGATGACCTTCGTGGATGAGAAAACATTCTCTCGTGGGGTGTGCACCCAGTACTGGTGCATAATAATGAACGAATGCAATGTAATGTCTGAGTAATAACTGACTCCCAAGCACTTATAGGTAGCTTAAGAGACATAAGTGATAGTTGAATAGTTTTCCAAATAATCCCATTATAACGCTCTGTTTGGCCATTTCCTTGAGGATTATAAGGTGATGAATAACTTGTAGCTACTCCTAAGCTACATAAAATTCCTTTAATTCTGATGAGACAAAGGATGTTCCTCGATCAGAATGCACAAAGGTGGGTACTCCAAAGATTGCAAATAATTGAGTTAATTTTCTTTTAACGGTTTCAGCTGTTAAATCTGGACATGGAAAGGCAAATGGGAAACGAGAATATTCGTCTACTACAGTTAGAATATACTTATTTTGAGTTCTACTTGGAAGAGGCCCCTTAAAGTCCATTGAAATTCGCTCAAATGGTGTAGTAGCCTTTATTAAAGTCCCAGAAGATTTTATGAATCTAGGTTTAATTTCAGCACATACGGGACATAATGTATTTATGCGTTTGATTTCTTCAACAGAAAAGGGCAAATTTTTAGTTCTTACCCAATGTACCATCCGTGTAATACCCGGGTGACAAAGACTGTTATGTAAATCCATTAATGAATTTCTCGATGTCGAAGCTATGACAGTATTTGCTCGTGACAATGCGTCGGCCACGACATTTTCTCTTCCCGGTCGATATATGATGTCAAAGTTGTAACTACTTAATTCAAGACGCCAACGCTGTATCTTCTCATTTTTGATCTTTGATGTATGTTGCTGGTTAAACATGAATGATATAGAACGTTGATCTGTAATCAGTTTGAATGTTCGTCCTATTAGTAATTGTCTCCAATTTCTCAAACTTTCTACAATTGCCGAGGCCTCCTTTTCAATAGCAGGGTGACCCCTTTCGGTAGCAGAAAGTGTTCTTGAAAAGAAAGCTACTGGCCGACCTTCTTGAGATAACGTAGCTGCAATAGCGTAATCTGAAGCGTCAGTTTCTACAGTCATTTGTATGCCGCTTTCAATAGCAGCTACTGTAGATTTAGCTATCTCTATTTTAAGATCTTCAAATGCTTTTATAGCGTCCTCCGTAAGCGGAAATGTATTATGATTGACAAATGGTTGTATTTTGTATGAGAATTTAGGAATCCATTTAGCATAGTGCGCAAACATACCTAGTGCTCGTCGCAAAGAAACAGAATCAGTAGGAATTGGTAGTTCTAGGAGAGGGCGTAAACGTTCCGGATCAGGTTTAATCACTCCGTTACATATGTTGTATCCCAGAAGATTTATAGTAGTCTTTGAAAATTCACTTTTTGTCACGTTTAATGTAAGATTATATTTTGTAGAAATTTCTTCAAATTTTTTAAGTTTTTCATCGTGATCAGTCTGATTTATCCCACAAATCGTGATATCATCGAGATAAGCATAAACTCCTTCTAATTGCTCTGATTTTATGATATTATTAATTGCACGTTGAAATGCGGCCACTCCATTGGTGACACCAAACGGAATTCGTCGAAACTGATATAAATTTCCTCCTGCTTCGAAGGCAGTATATGATTTTTCGCTTTCCAATATAGGTACTTGATGATACGCGCTTTTAAGGTCTATTTTACTGAATATTTTATGTTTAGATACCTTAGCTATCATCGAGATAAGCATAAACTCCTTCTAATTGCTCTGATTTTATGATATTATTAATTGCACGTTGAAATGCGGCCACTCCATTGGTGACACCAAACGGAATTCGTCGAAACTGATATAAATTTCCTCCTGCTTCGAAGGCAGTATATGATTTTTCGCTTTCCAATATAGGTACTTGATGATACGCGCTTTTAAGGTCTATTTTACTGAATATTTTATGTTTAGATACCTTAGCTATAACATCTTCAATAGAAGGGAGTGGATATGCATCTAATAAAGTAAATCTATTTATTGTTTGTGAATAATCTATAACCATACGTTTTTTATGGTGTTCACTACTAGTAACAAGGACTTGTGCTCGCCATGGAGACTGACTAGGTTCAATTATTTTATCTTTTAATAACTTTTGTATCTCTTCATCTATAAATTTTTGATCCATCTCTGACTGTTTCCTAGATCGAATCGCAATAGGTTTCTCGAAAGGTAGTAAATTACTGAATAAGCTAACAGGTTTTATTTGGCTTCTATAAGAGTACATAGTTGAAGCGAGGGTTTAAAACCACCAAATTGCATTTCTAATGATTTATGTTCACTTAACATATCATGACCGAGAATAACATCAGAACATAATCCTTCCATCACCATAAGATTGACTTCCACCTTTTGTTTTTGTATTTCTATAGTTAATGCACATCTGCTTTTTACATGTGATATAAGGTTTGACTTGGCCATTGTTATCTTTTGGTGATATGGTGTTTCAATTAAATCATAGTGGTTAACCAGTCGTTTGTCAATAAAACTAGCTGTACTGCCTGTATCTATTAGTGCTCTAGCCATAATTTTGTTATTGATAATAATAGGAACAGTCGCTTTACTTAAATCTGCAGCAGATAGTATGCAGGAGAGTGTTTCGATTGACTGATTTTCGTTGGAAGTAGCTGCGTTGCGTTGAGATTTATTTCGACAGACTTTAGCAAAATGACCCCTCTTACCACATGAAAGACACGTTGAACTGGCTGCTGGACAGAATCTTCGTGGATGTCTTTTTTCTCCACAAAAGTAACAAGACTCAAACGTATTTCTATAATTTGGTGTTGCAGCAACGGTGACATCAGTATTCTTATTGTCAGCAGACATAGAATCCTTTAAAACTGGAATATTAGAACAGTTATTTGTATTATTTATTACAGGATTAGTGTCACGTAGATAATTCTGATTATGAATTTCTTTTAACTCCAGTGATTGAGCTTGCTGGAAGGCCGCATCTAGGGTTAAAGTACTATTTTCTAACAGTCTTTGACGTATTACAGGTGACACCAGTCCGCCTATGAAAGCGTCTCTTATGTATTCACTTTCATTCTGTTCTGCTGTAACTTTATGGAAGTTACATTCTTTCGACAATAGTTTAAGAGCTTGTATATATTGATGAACTGACTCACCGGATTGCTGATATCGCTTCATAAGACGATGTCTTGAATAGATTTCGTTTACAGGTTTTGTAAATAATTGATTTAATTTAAGAATCGCTGTAGTGTAGTTGTTACATTCTTTGATATGTGCATAAAGAATCGGCGATAAGTAATTGACGAGTACTTGGTATTGCTGCTCTGGAGTAATAGGATTATCCTTAGTATTTATAGCACTAATAAAAATTCTCAAAAGTTTGTTTCGACATGTCAAAGTTGTAACTACTTAATTCAAGACGCCAACGCTGTATCTTCTCATTTTTGATCTTTGATGTATGTTGCTGGTTAAACATGAATGATATAGAACGTTGATCTGTAATCAGTTTGAATGTTCGTCCTATTAGTAATTGTCTCCATTTTCTCAAACTTTCTACAATTGCCGAGGCCTCCTTTTCAATAGCAGGGTGACCCCTTTCGGTAGCAGAAAGTGTTCTTGAAAAGAAAGCTACTGGCCGACCTTCTTGAGATAACGTAGCTGCAATAGCGTAATCTGAAGCGTCAGTTTCTACAGTCATTTGTATGCCGCTTTCAATAGCAGCTACTGTAGATTTAGCTATCTCTATTTTAAGATCTTCAAATGCTTTTATAGCGTCCTCCGTAAGCGGAAATGTATTATGATTGACAAATGGTTGTATTTTGTATGAGAATTTAGGAATCCATTTAGCATAGTGCGCAAACATACCTAGTGCTCGTCGCAAAGAAACAGAATCAGTAGGAATTGGTAGTTCTAGGAGAGGGCGTAAACGTTCCGGATCAGGTTTAATCACTCCGTTACATATGTTGTATCCCAGAAGATTTATAGTAGTCTTTGAAAATTCACTTTTTGTCACGTTTAATGTAAGATTATATTTTGTAGAAATTTCTTCAAATTTTTTAAGTTTTTCATCGTGATCAGTCTGATTTATCCCACAAATCGTGATATCATCGAGATAAGCATAAACTCCTTCTAATTGCTCTGATTTTATGATATTATTAATTGCACGTTGAAATGGCCACTCCATTGGTGACACCAAACGGAATTCGTCGAAACTGATATAAATTTCCTCCTGCTTCGAAGGCAGTATATGATTTTTCGCTTTCCAATATAGGTACTTGATGATACGCGCTTTTAAGGTCTATTTTACTGAATATTTTATGTTTAGATACCTTAGCTATAACATCTTCAATAGAAGGGAGTGGATATGCATCTAATAAAGTAAATCTATTTATTGTTTGTGAATAATCTATAACCATACGTTTTTTATGGTGTTCACTACTAGTAACAAGGACTTGTGCTCGCCATGGAGACTGACTAGGTTCAATTATTTTATCTTTTAATAACTTTTGTATCTCTTCATCTATAAATTTTTGATCCATCTCTGACTGTTTCCTAGATCGAATCGCAATAGGTTTCTCGAAAGGTAGTAAATTACTGAATAAGCTAACAGGTTTTATTTTGGCTTCTATAAGAGTACATAGTTGAAGCGAGGGTTTAAAACCACCAAATTGCCTTCTAATGATTTATGTTCACTTAACATATCATGACCGAGAATAACATCAGAACATAATCCTTCCATCACCATAAGATTGACTTCCACCTTTTGTTTTGTATTTCTATAGTTAATGCACATCTGCTTTTTATATGTGATATAAGGTTTGACTTGGCCATTGTTATCTTTTGGTGATATGGTGTTTCAATTAAATCATAGTGGTTAACCAGTCGTTTGTCAATAAAACTAGCTGTACTGCCTGTATCTATTAGTGCTCTAGCCATAATTTTGTTATTGATAATAATAGGAACAGTCGCTTTACTTAAATCTGCAGCAGATAGTATGCAGGAGAGTGTTTCGATTGACTGATTTTCGTTGGAGGTAGCTGCGTTGCGTTGAGATTTATTTCGACAGACTTTAGCAAAATGACCCCTCTTACCACATGAAAGACACGTTGAACTGGCTGCTGGACAGAATCTTCGTGGATGTCTTTTTTCCACAAAAGTAACAAGACTCAAAAGTATTTCTATAATTTGGTGTTGCAGCAACGGTGACATCAGTATTCTTATTGTCAGCAGACATAGAATCCTTTAAAACTGGAATATTAGAACAGTTATTTGTATTATTTATTACAGGATTAGTGTCACGTAGATAATTCTGATTATGAATTTCTGCTAACTCCAGTGATTGAGCTTGCTGGAAGGCCGCATCTAGGGTTAAAGTACTATTTTCTAACAGTCTTTGACGTATTACAGGTGACACCAGTCCGCCTATGAAAGCGTCTCTTATGTATTCACTTTCATTCTGTTCTGCTGTAACTTTATGGAAGTTACATTCTTTCGACAATAGTTTAAGAGCTTGTATATATTGATGAACTGACTCACCGGATTGCTGATATCGCTTCATAAGACGATGTCTTGAATAGATTTCGTTTACAGGTTTTGTAAATAATTGATTTAATTTAAGAATCGCTGTAGTGTAGTTGTTACATTCTTTGATATGTGCATAAAGAATCGGCGATAAGTAATTGACGAGTACTTGGTATTGCTGCTCTGGAGTAATAGGATTATCCTTAGTATTTATAGCACTAATAAAATTCTCAAAAGTTTGTTTCCAATGTATCCATAGCGGAGATTGATCAATATTTGCTGACGGATCTGCATCGAATCTTTCGGGTCTTAGATACTTATCCATTATAGATTATAAGTAATTTTTAGTTTATTAAATTGATATGAATATAGTATTGAATTATTAATTAAAACTAGATTTACCCATTATTAGGCTTTAATAAACTAAAAATTGTACACGACTATTTGACAGATAAAATGTAACTAAAATCTTCTTCTTATATTTAATGGCTTCACGACATTAGGTGAATGTCTTTATGCACATATCAAAGAATGTAACAACTACACTACAGCGATTCTTAAATTAAATCAATTATTTACAAAACCTGTAAACGAAATCTATTCAAGACATCGTCTTATGAAGCGATATCAGCAATCCGGTGAGTCAGTTCATCAATATATACAAGCTCTTAAACTATTGTCGAAAGAATGTAACTTCCATAAAGTTACAGCAGAACAGAATGAAAGTGAATACATAAGAGACGCTTTCATAGGCGGACTGGTGTCACCTGTAATACGTCAAAGACTGTTAGAAAATAGTACTTTAACCCTAGATGCGGCCTTCCAGCAAGCTCAATCACTGGAGTTAGCAGAAATTCATAATCAGAATTATCTACGTGACACTAATCCTGTAATAAATAATACAAATAACTGTTCTAATATTCCAGTTTTAAAGGATTCTATGTCTGCTGACAATAAGAATACTGATGTCACCGTTGCTGCAACACCAAATTATAGAAATACGTTTGAGTCTTGTTACTTTTGTGGAGGAAAAAGACATCCACGAAGATTCTGTCCAGCAGCCAGTTCAACGTGTCTTTCATGTGGTAAGAGGGGTCATTTTGCTAAAGTCTGTCGAAATAAATCTCAACGCAACGCAGCTACCTCCAACGAAAATCAGTCAATCGAAACACTCTCCTGCATACTATCTGCTGCAGATTTATGTAAAGCGACTGTTCCTATTATTATCAATAACAAAATTATGGCTAGAGCACTAATAGATACAGGCAGTACAGCTAGTTTTATTGACAAACGACTGGTTAACCACTATGATTTAATTGAAACACCATATCACCAAAAGATAACAATGGCCAAGTCAAACCTTATATCACATGTAAAAAGCAGATGTGCATTAACTATAGAAATACAAAAACAAAAGGTGGAAGTCAATCTTATGGTGATGGAAGGATTATGTTCTGATGTTATTCTCGGTCATGATATGTTAAGTGAACATAAATCATTAGAAATGCAATTTGGTGGTTTTAAACCCTCGCTTCAACTATGTACTCTTATAGAAGCCAAAATAAAACCTGTTAGCTTATTCAGTAATTTACTACCTTTCGAGAAACCTATTGCGATTCGATCTAGGAAACAGTCAGAGATGGATCAAAAATTTATAGATGAAGAGATACAAAAGTTATTAAAAGATAAAATAATTGAACCTAGTCAGTCTCCATGGCGAGCACAAGTCCTTGTTACTAGTAGTGAACACCATAAAAAACGTATGGTTATAGATTATTCACAAACAATAAATAGATTTACTTTATTAGATGCATATCCACTCCCTTCTATTGAAGATGTTATAGCTAAGGTATCTAAACATAAAATATTCAGTAAAATAGACCTTAAAAGCGCGTATCATCAAGTACCTATATTGGAAAGCGAAAAATCATATACTGCCTTCGAAGCAGGAGGAAATTTATATCAGTTTCGACGAATTCCGTTTGGTGTCACCAATGGAGTGGCCGCATTTCAACGTGCAATTAATAATATCATAAAATCAGAGCAATTAGAAGGAGTTTATGCTTATCTCGATGATATCACGATTTGTGGGATAAATCAGACTGATCACGATGAAAAACTTAAAAAATTTGAAGAAATTTCTACAAAATATAATCTTACATTAAACGTGACAAAAAGTGAATTTTCAAAGACTACTATAAATCTTCTGGGATACAACATATGTAACGGAGTGATTAAACCTGATCCGGAACGTTTACGCCCTCTCCTAGAACTACCAATTCCTACTGATTCTGTTTCTTTGCGACGAGCACTAGGTATGTTTGCGCACTATGCTAAATGGATTCCTAAATTCTCATACAAAATACAACCATTTGTCAATCATAATACATTTCCGCTTACGGAGGACGCTATAAAAGCATTTGAAGATCTTAAAATAGAGATAGCTAAATCTACAGTAGCTGCTATTGAAAGCGGCATACAAATGACTGTAGAAACTGACGCTTCAGATTACGCTATTGCAGCTACGTTATCTCAAGAAGGTCGGCCAGTAGCTTTCTTTTCAAGAACACTTTCTGCTACCGAAAGGGGTCACCCTGCTATTGAAAAGGAGGCCTCGGCAATTGTAGAAAGTTTGAGAAAATGGAGACAATTACTAA